TACAGCATAGCTGAACACATAAGTGGCCAGTGACATTTGTTCCCTCCACTGATAATAATGATTTTCCTTATGGCTTATAGGGCTGCAGTCATCTATTTACGCTTCTGGAAATAGAGCTGTCCAAAGACAGTCTTGACAACAACAAAAGGCGTCAGGGAGCTATTGTTCTGTAATGGCTGCTTCACATCTCCTACTGCCACAGTGCGCAGCTTTACCTCCACCTCTGCAACTGGTGATAAAACTTAGGCCATGTTGTGAGAAGATATGGAAGCCAGGACAGAGCAAACCCCTGCAGTTATACTCTTGCTCCTCAGCCCAGTCATCTTGTGCTATCTCCAATTTAGGCTGCTAATGGTGTGGTAGCTTGCATTTCTACTTTCTTAAAAATGCAGTGCCTGGAACATTCACTGTTCAGTTTGCTATGTGTCTTTTTTGAAGTTTGCCCTAGTGACGGTTCAAATGCAAAAAAATTAGACTAGGAATGTAATGCTTCCATTGCTTATAGGCAGACCTACTTTCTATTCTATGCACTTTTTTTCTAACCAACAAGCTAGAATTTGGTTCTATATGTAATTTGGTACCAAAAGCTACATTTAACTGACATTAAGATTGTGAAGTAAGTACCCCCCCCCAAAATGTTGAAAATTCAAAAATTAAGCCTTAACTCTGTTCTTAACCCACAGTGCTAATGGCACAAGAGTCATGACCACACAACTGGGGAGGTGAAGTACACTTCTAAGAAAAAGTGTAAGTCTGCCCCTTATGTTTGAATCTGTTAGCTTCTGTTATTTTCATTCACAAAATTAACCTTAAAAATTTTTTTTCTTTAGTTATCCCCTCCCTTTACCCCACTTTGAAAGAAGAAAAAGAACAAAAGTTCATAGGAAGATATAAAATATGAATTACATTTATTCAGGAGACTTGAAAGGGCTCCTTTGGAGCCATTTGAGTCTCTCCATCCCAGCCTATCCAGTAAATATACAGTTACATAGTTTTTTAAATGTATTTTTTGATAAAAACTAATTTGTGTCTACAGTCAATAAACTTTTCATAGGTTTATACATTAAAATGCCAGAGGAAACACTGCCATCATCTGCTCTGGCCTCCTGCATCATACAGACCATAGTACTCTGAAGATACACAACCCTGTATAGTCAGCTTGATAGACTGTAACTGATTAACACAATGCATATTCAGTTTTGTATTGTTCCACAGTACAGATCATGACAATAGCAATATGGAAATGTTTATTAAAAACTTTATGAAAAAAGTTACGGCACACGAGCAGGAACCCAGATTGCAGAACTGAAAATATTTTCGATTTGTTTTTTCTTGATTCTCATCATTATAGGCCCTGGTAGAAAAACAACTGTTCAAAAAATAACATTGTCTTAGAACTTTTACTTGTTTGAGTTCAAAACTAGATCAGGCAATATCATTAATTTACTCTGAACTTCTATGTATTTGGGAATTACAGAGAACACAATTGCTCCTACAACTTTTACTTAAAGCAAACCTTTATGACTGCATTATAACCTACTGAAAATAGGAATGTGTAATAGAAATGCTGACAGTCTTGCTCTGCATGACATAAACATGCCAATAGAATATTATTTTTCTCCCTCTCTCTGTATATAATATATATGCACTTTTAAGTAAAAGAAAATAGATTAAACAATCAACTTATCATGTATTCCTGTATCTATGATGTACCATGTACCAAACACTAGACTTACCACACTTACCTTCCTGCATAATTAAAGTTAAATTCTCCAAATACAAACATTTTTGTTACCTTATCAAAGAACAACAGTCAACATGCTCAGCACTTCATTACTGTCAGGGGAACAGTTGCACAAAAAGTTAAAGCTGCCATGAAATATATTTCAAAATTGAAGTGAAATTTTCAAGTGAATAAAAAATCAGATGAGATGCTGTTCTGACTTCAAGACATTATAAAATAAGTTCTCCTATTGTAGCGGAAAACTAAATGCAGAATAAGTAGTGCTGTTAGTATTTTCCACCAACTATCCAAGGGACAAAATTGGAACAGCAACATGAATCATTTTGTTCTCTCTATAGCAGAACATAAGTTATAGTAGTTTGTTGACAATAAAAATCTCTCCATGGATTAAAATATACATGTATGTGTATGTGTGTGTTTGTGTGCATTTATAAGTATACAAACACACCCACACATATTAATATATAGGATGAACAGGCATAGAATTCCGAATTCACCAAATGAGCTGATGGGCAGTAAAGATCCTACGTTACTTAACTGCCAATAAATCTAAATTTTCAGCAACAACTGAATTGGATTTACTAAATAATGCTATGGGCTGATACTGGTGCACTTCTAACCTACAGTATGCAGTACCTCTACAAAACATCTCCAAAATGCCATCTGCATTGCATATTTGTTGTAAAACTATATCTTTGTCTAATCTTCATTTTTCTTAGCCGTACATATGTATATCTGTTTATGCTCTAAGAAATAAGTTTGCAATGCTTTATAGCATGCCACATATGTTCATAAAATAAGTCCTCAAATCAATATAAAATCATGTAATTGAACAAAAAGGCATACTATTCTTCATGCTATGCTCAATATAAATATAAATTCAAGGCAGTCAAGCTATCCATTACCAAAATAATAACCATAATATATATGCATATATACCTACACTCTCTAAAAAATGATCCAGTTATGTGGATTAAGAAACCAGTAAGAAATTGGCTGAATGTAGTATAAAAGTCTCATTTTATGTAAAAGCCAATACTGGCCATTTCAAGTATTTTAATACTTTCCTATAAGCTTTTCATTAATAACTACCTATTTGTAGAAATGATAATTATACTGAAAATTGTATTCAAGTTAAATAAAAATTAACTTCTACCGTAGTTCATTTTTAGAGTGTGCATGTATACATAGCAAAATACCCTTCTACAGATCTACAATAACTTTTTCGTTTATGTCAGTTCTTTTCTACGAAAAAACTTCAACGTTTTTTTCTCAAATTTTGAATAATGTATATCAGGCCTTTTAAGAATTAAAACTCATCTTAGTTCATTCGCAACACCAGATTCCCTTCAGTTTGTGCCAGTTTGCAAGTTAAAGGTCAAAGATCAAAGACATAGGACAGTACACTCTAAGGAAATTCAAACAGTGAAGCTGTTCACAGAAGACAATGTTTAACTTGGTAATGACAGTCAACAGGTCAATAATCAAGTTCAAGGCAAGCTGTTCATTGTTGCAAAAGCTACTCCCCTCAAATCCTGGCTTTCATAAAAAACCAGGTGTCTGACTTTTGGGGTGCATCATTCTGACCATCTTTAATAAGTTCACAGCCCAGTGACTGTAAAGCCTATCACTGCAAGAAGCAGCTCCTAAAATCAATAAAGAGGTCTGTCAGTTGCTGACTTTTCTCTAGGAAAAAAATATTGATACAAACCTGCTCTGCAGGTCACATGAAAATGACAATACTGCTGTTAGCACAAATTACACAGAATGACAAAATGCTTTGGTGGTCCCTTGGCTCTGTCAGTGACACCGTGTTTGGCTGAAGGCCAGAAATTTGACTAACCCTTTGAGAACTATGGTGAACATGCAAAGGGGTAACACACCAGAGGATACTCATGCAATATCAGAGTCATTGTTTTAGCTTTCCTTTGAAACTGTAAATCTACCTCTGCAGAGGCAAGTTGAATTATCATGCAAAATAGTTTAAAAGATAAATTCAAGATGCTTAAGGTAAAAGGCTAAGCTATAAAACTGTCACCAGTTCAGAAAAATTCTTGGTAAGTGGTAGAAGTTATTAAAATAGGTTTGGTTCCTTTAACCAGAAAGTAGCTGGTAAATATATTTTGTTTTCTATTTATGTTACAAATGCTTTTCTATCAATAATGCAAATAATTAAAAACACTCACTTGCAGTCACAGGAAATCTGTTTTGAAAAACTGATTTATTTTTTTTTAAAACCTGTATTACCCAAAAGCAATCCTATAATTCAATGACAACCAGGATTAACATCCACCAGACTCTGAAAACGGATGCAATAGTTCTCAAAGGGTTACACCACCAACGTAATACCAGCGTCAAGTTTCTCTGTAGCATGACTGTTGCTTTAGTTCATTGAAATCCACTTCAGAGACACACTGTTTTTTACCATGCTTTGGAATGAGTGCTCCTGACAGACCTATGAAAGGCCTGGGGCAGTTGGCTTGGTACAGCTTGGGAAAGATTATGCAGGAAAACCAACCAAAAATCAAACAAACCAATAAAAGGGTTCTGCTTGAATATAGTAATGAATATAAATGAGTTTAAAACATTGAGGACATAGCCCAGAGCAGCTGTAAAAAACACAAAATGAATGTATTATTAAGGCTGTTACTATATTGCAGATATTTTGGCCCCTTGTTTGTTGGAAAATGGCTGTCCGAACAGTCTGAAGTCCTGCGTGTCATCCGAACCTCCCACCTGACAAAACTGGAAGTAGGAGTGTAGGACTTTATCCATAGCAGACAGAAAGCAATCCTCTTTGGAGACAAAGCTGTTTTGGGTCTTCTCACTTTCCTGAAAGTTCCGCTGTGGGTTGTTGTGTTTTTCTAAAAAAATTTACTTTCAGCAAAAAATTTTTCAAAGGGGAACAGGCCTTAAGGGAAAAATGTAGAAACATTGGAGATTTTGTTTTCCCCTTCATTAGTTAATCCTGATAGTTTATAGGGCATTGAGCGTGCAGAGGAAAGGCCTAGAATCGAATGACAAAGAAAGACAAAGGACTGAAGAAACAGCAGATACTGTCTATCATGGAAGCTTCCCAGCTGAGCGAATCGCCACTCATGCGCAGGACAGGCAACCCCCTGGGTTTTAAAGATCAGCTTTGTTTCAGACTGACAGATGCCCGCTCCTAGCTAGGAAACTGCATAACAGCTCTTGTGTTGAATCTCAAGTTACCACAAACTCCTGGGAGGGAAAGAAAAAAAACCAAAACCCTACATCACACCCACTCTTGCATAGAGCGTTTGCAGTACAGTATGTGGCGGGGTGTTCCTTTCCTTTTGAACTGGAACACAGTGTAAACCAAGACAAGGAGGCACAAGGCCAGAATGCAGGGAATGACGATGGCTATGGCTTTCACAGTGCTGGCTGTGTTGTCCAGTTTGATGACAATGTCAACGTCATCTTGAGGGCTGTGTCGGTCTTTATCTCGATCTGTTGGTCCATCACAACCCATAAAATCCTTGAGGATGGATCTGGGATAGCCAGGTTCCACCCTGAGCATCTGGTTATTGAATTTCCAGTACTCTTTTCCTTTGTAGAAATATGTGAAGCCTGAGGAAGAAAATTGCAATTATTCATGGTCATATCGGATCAAATCATGTCATCAACACACCATGACCAAAACTACTGGTATCACATTATTATGTAATTAAAAAATTAGAAAGGTGTAAGGAATAATTATAGATCTTTCAAATCTTCTTTAAAAATTTCATTTTTTTATTTTCTCTAGAAAATCTAACATCAGTGTGTTTTGGGTTTTTTTTTAATTCAATAAACTGGGATTTTATTTTTCCATGACAACAAAAATTAAAGGAATTCCAGAGAATATGATCTCTGACAGACCAGGGTCCGGCTGATTTGTTCGTTCACTGAAAATCCAACCAGAGTTGAAATCCTCATGGGAGGATTTTAAGCATCACAACTTCTTCAAGATGGGAAGTCTGCTAAAGCAAATTACAATGCTATGCTAGCCAGAAATGAGAACTGACCCTCTTTAATGTCACATAGCCTACTGCTGTACTTCAGAAGAAGGAAATTGAATGAAATAACAGCAGCATTGGCAAGAGAAAACAGGTGTAACCAGATTTAAGTTTTCTGCAAAGAGCTGGTATTTGATCATTCAGACATAATCCAGTGTTATTACTCAGCATGCCTAAATGGAAAAAAAAACCAAACTTGACTCCTTGCCAAAAATCTACATTACTTCATTATCCCAGCTGAAAAATGGCATTGATCTGTTAAGAAATAAACTTTCAGGATGGACAAACTTTCTCCTGCTGTTTATGAACTGAATGCAAACAGCTAGATTTTTCCTTATCTTCACTTTATAGACCTCACTTTACTTTCTGCAGTACTGAAGGCCACTAAGAATACTAAGGCAGATTGGGCACTATTTGTCATGTTAACAATGCTTCCTGAAAATATCAGTAACTGGCTATCTGGAGATAATATTAGTAATCACCTATTCAAACAGCAGTTAGTTTCTTTCAATTCTAAAAAAATGACTTGATAGTATATTTTGCAGCTCAAACGGTAAACAAATCATCATCTACTGCCACTTTTCAGAATCTTTAGAATATTTGAACATTCTTCTACATTAGTTATTTATGTAATTCTAATGGCCTTCCTAGCCACTGAAAAGATACTATTTTCCTTTCCTTGATCCCTTGCAGTTTTATTAGCTGAGAATGTGTTAGTGTATCTATAGAAAGGTATAACACTGGTTAAAAAGAAAAAAAACCACAAAATACTGAGCTATATCAAAACAGTAGTTAGGAGGCTTGTTCAGAAAGTGCCTTCTCTTCTGATTGGAACAAAACAAAAAAGAAGACTGTAATTCTTTAAATACAATGAAGTTTTAAAATTTTAGCCTATATAATGTTCCTTAAAGCAATCTGTAGTTTAAATGAAAAATATTATCAAATGCAAAATTTCAGTATTTTGAGCCACAGGTTACCCTACCTTTTCATTTCATATAACAACGTGTATGTAAGAAAGCACTGTACATACTGGCGCTGGACAAATATTTCAAGTGTGGAAATTTGATATGTTAACTCTATCAATATCTCATACATATATAAAGACCATACCCAGACATGACCTCTGTAAATCAATATTCTTACATGGATGCAGAATACTTACATGTATACATCAGGGGTACATATAAGTCAGAATACTGACATTAGTTAGTATTAATTGTTATTATACATTGAAGTATCAAATTAAAACTGTTAAAATCAAAGCAGCAAAGGAATTTCCAGCCCCTATAGTTCCAGTAAAAATTCTTCAGTCAGAGCATATTTTCCACTGGAAAACTCTGAAGGTAGTTTAAACTTTTCTGTCATTTTGCCAACACAGGAACCAGGATAACAGTCATTAACAGCTGAAGGATGGAGGTTACTGGCAAAGAAGGGTAGTTCTAAGGGACTGGGTAGTTTTACTGCTTCTCATGGCAGAACAAGTGACTTCACACAACTGTTGAAAGTGATTTCATCTAATCTTCCTGACTTGTTGTGCCTGCTTTGGGAGTTGCTCCTTACAATTTTCTAGGCGCTAGTCCCTGAGAGTAGTGAGCTCAGTGCCTGACCCAAACAGCATGGAAGGGCTTAGCAGCCACTAACGTGTCAAAGACAAACTCAGATTAAGAGTGGCAGTAAGCACAAGGCAAAAAAAGCTCAATGGGCTAATAAAGCAGACTACCTTTTCTCATTATTCTCTCTAAAAATTGCTCCACCATCCATTTTAGCAGAATTTCTAGCTGGGAGGTGAGATTTTCTACGCTGAAAGAAAGATTTCTCGAATCTGGAGAACTTTGTGTGAACTCAGATTCCATGGAGCAACAGAAAGGAAATGTCTTCTTCACCTCCTCCTAAGAGTTTCTACCACAGTGTTAGAAACCAAATCACAATATGGGAAGTAGCAGGGAGAGTTTCAAAGACGTCACCTGTACGTTACCAAGCTTCTAGGATACTGAGTCAGGATGCTGACTAACGTAGGAAATTGTTTTTTCTCATCTTTCCCAAGCCTGTAACTGCAAGATTACCCACATTTTTTGTGGACAGTGAAGGAAATCCCTTTATAGTGAGACTTATTGAAGGTGTTCATTTGCATGGTTTACACAATAGAAAGACAAGGGAAAGAAAAAAGTATTCTTTAAAGCAAAATGGATTAACTGGAAGACATGCTTTCAGATGTTCCCTGCCAAAGCTATGTAGTAAAACTTTGTCAACTCTGCTTCTGCCCAAAGAAAGGAAAACAGTTTAAGGCAAAATGTAATCAACTTCTTTCCAACTAAGCTGTGGTACTTATTTGCATCTGCTTTTGTTCCTTTCTCTCCTCATACAAACAACAGCAGAGGTTTGATCTGTTTCTTATGATGTCTATTTTCTTGATTTCAGGGAAAATGTCTTAGTGGTCTTCTTGGGAACTTTATGATGTCATTTTCAGTCCCTCTTTCTGCCCTGGGGCCCTTTTAGGCTTTGTGAGAAGCCCAAGAATGCCTTCTTTCCCCTACCCTCCTGTCCCACAATGTCATGTCACGTCATGTTTTACCACCCTCTTCCTTCAAAGAGTCAGACAGACTATCAAAGCCACTGGGGTAAAAAAGAGAAGTGGCTTTGATGTAACCAAGAGTCTTTCCTGCCTTAGGAATGAATGTTCTACCTCTGCAGTGCTTTCAAACTCACTGGTCTGAGTGTTACAGTAAGATAATTTTCATTTGTAATGAGACACACATGTACCTGAACTGAGTACAGAAAACTTATTATGTGGAATGCAATCAAGGTAAGAAAAAACCCCAAATACATACATACATACATACATACATACATATATTTATATGTTAATTTACTTTTGGATGTAAAACTTTAAAAATAAGCTTAAAAAGTAATGAAGGGAAGAAAGCAGAGGTTTGTCCATTAGGTTTTTCTGTGCATACATAATGTTTGTGTCTATTTCCACATATACGTGTGTTTACAGTTAGTTATTGAGTGTGATGCATGCAGTATGTCATCTTGACTGACCTACTTTCCAGTAAAAAAACAAAACAAAACAAATAGAAACAACACAAAAAATCCAGTCTAGCCAAAAGGCCAGAATCCAGAGAGGGTTTCTGCTTCTGGATAAAATAGAGATAAAGCAAGGAAGCAATTAAATATATTCCTGAAAAAAAACCCCAAACATTTCCATGGTAAATTACTTAATCAAGTTAGAGGTTGAAATAGGAGACTGAAATGGTTTATACAAGGAAAGAAATCTTTTTATCTGCTTATTAAAAGGAAATTAAAATAAGATGGCTATATATACATGTGCTGTCTGTGAGGCAAACAGAATAAACGCAGAACCTACTAAAAAATAAATCATAAATGCCATACAATAACTCTCCCACAATGATAAATGATGACAAATGCATATTTTTATTCCTGTCAAAGGGATCTGAACTCTGTACAACTGAGGGCTCTGTTGGCAGCCTGCCAGCAGCCCCTGGGTAACACTGAATTCTCATAAAATGGAGAAGATTTTGGCTGCTCTCATTCATTTGGAGGTGTGGCCAGCTGAGGTTCTAGGTTCCTCTATGTGATGATGCATCTTGATACGGGTAATTGCACTTCATACCAACATCCTTGTAATATGCATTTCTGCATCACAGACTTATGACATGTTTGTTTTACACAGATCCCTAGTGTTACTTCTGCTTAGATGAAGATTTTGTTTCCCTTTTCTAGTTGTTTGGAATAAAAGTAATACCTTCTAAGCTGTTTAAACAGCCAATACCTTGACAATTCAAATAGAGATATGCTGTGTTTAGGAAGCTTGTTTTAAGAGGTTCATCAGAGAGCAAAAAAAATTAAGTGAATTAAGACACAAAAAAAAAAAAAAAAGAAAGGAAATTAAGATTTATGATACTAAATTAGAAAAATTTTTCTCCATTGTGTTAAAAAGCACATGCAAACAAACAGCCATTTTCACAACAGCAAGTCCTATAGCAGGAAACGTTCTGTTCATAAATTAAGAATTCCTTCGCTACTTAACCTGAATAGTCAATCACCCCTCTACTACCCTATCTTACATAAAGGTTGCTAGTAAATCATTAAAACAGAAATGTGCTTGCATACCATTTTCTTTGTGGACAAAGGCTCCCTGAGGAGATTCTGGGATACCTTTCCAAATTGTGATTGGTTTGGGATAACCAGGATCCATGGATCTCATTTCTTCACTGTACCTCCAGTACCTGAAATTGTTTTTAAAGGACAAAACAAAATAAATAAGTATTTCTAAGATAGCAGATGAGTAACTACGTATTTTTTTCTTTCTAACATTTGCTACATTCATTAGCCACAAATGGGAATATTTGACTTCTTTTCTTTGAACATATTACCAGATTACAAAGAAATCTATTTGCTGACTGGACAACAGTTTCATGTAAGCAGAAAAAAGATAAAAGATTTTTGCACTTTAACAACTAAACCAGCACACATCTCACTTGTATTGCAGCAATTCTGATGCCTAGGATGTCTGTACAGTGTCACAGAGAGATGCAACATCTACAAAAAACATATACCAATGTTTTAGATAACATTTGAACCATGGAAATGACACTAGGTTCAGATTAAAATACTCCCAGCAATCTTAATTTAACTCCTTGTATGTATGTATTACAATAGCTTTTAATTTCATTATCATTAAATAGATAGTGTAATACAAAATTGAACCTGCTTTTGTGCCTTATTGCCAGCCAGCCCTTCTACAATTTAAAAAGCTTCAGCATGTAAATTCTAGGCAACCTGAACATGTAAGAAGTATTTACATTTGTGATTTTATTTACACTTGCAGATAATGTTGATATTTTCTTTGTTCTTATCCAGCTGTCTAAATTGCTATGCATATCTTATCATAAGTTGTTTCTAAGAATTAAAATATTGCATCTCCAGTATCTCTGTGTATCCTGATATAATATCTGGGTGGCTCATTTCATATTTTTTTAGGATCCACTAATTTAAAGCATACCAATTTAGAGCATAGTTTTCTTGGAGAATTTGTTTTTTTTCCAAATCAGTTTTAGTCATGTTAAAAAGTACATAAAAAGGCAGTCACTCACTATTCCAGGACACCAAGCGCCTGAAAATATATCACTTCCATTGATAATCTGGTCACTGCTGAAAACTTGAACCTTTTTCTAATTTGAATTCATTTGACTTCAGCTTTTAGAAATCCTTGTTATGATCATTCCTGATATATTAAAGAGTAGTTAAGTGGATGATGCTTTGTCCCTGCAAAAGTACTTAGACACTCTAACCAATTCATGTCTTAACCTTTTTTAAAAACAACATGGTCTAAACTCCTCTGTATTTCTCCCTGTGGGCATTTCTCTGGCTTTAAACTTTAAATGAAATTTAAAGGTGGCAGATTTCAAATGGGTTAAGAATTGGCAACCTACATTAAAAAACATTTGTATTTATTTTTTCTTTCTTGTGCATAAATTATTTTTATAGCCTGATTTCTTAATCAGGTAACATATGAATCAGTAGCCAGCCAACACAGCAATGTTCTTTGTTTTGAAATGTGACATCTTTCAGAGTTTACATGGAGAAAGAAACACGTAGAAGTAGTAAACAAAGTTCTGATGTCTGTACTATTGCAACCAGTTCTTGCTCATCTTTTGACACTGCATTTCTTCATCCTTAGTTTGCATTGTCTTTTCACATTTGCCTGTTCTCTTTCTCCCTGTTTTTTTATTCTCTTTGCTGAGCTTGATATTCTATTTTCAAATCTCCATGTTTATCTGCAATTCTTCTTTATCAACTATCTTACCTTTTCCTCCATCCCTCTTTCCCAGAACCCTATTTCTTTCCTGCATACTTCCACTCATTTTCCTTTTTTTCTCTTCCAATCTTTTCACCTTTTTGAGCTCCTTCTCTTACTAACCTCTGTGGTTTTCCACTAGGCTGCATGATGGAAATAGATATCCTATAGGACTTTCAAAAATATACGCTGTCATTAAAAAACAAGTCTTTAATGACACACCCAGTGCACAACCAAAAGTCCAAAATGGTTTTTTTTCAGCATTGATGAGAAATTCTGTGAAGGAAGGACTGATCGTGATACTAGCTCAGAAATATGTGCTGGAATAATGAGCATGTCTACATGGTAAGGGAAAGCCTAGTCCTGATTCTTCTTGGCATGCCAAATGTTCACAAGCAGACTCCCCAGTGATGATTTGAATGATTTGAGCTTTTCAAACTACATAAATTCTGTCACTGTATCTCAAAGACTGATAAAATAACAGAGGGAAAATAAATGAAAGTGTACTTCGTGGCTTTAGAAAAAGGGAATTGGAAAATATTTGCTAAAACAGGTTATTTTTATCTAGTCCTATTTACTTAATGATATTCTGAGCTATTGGATGAATATTAATATTAATAAAAAAATACTTTATTTAAATTCTAAAGTACAAAAATCTGTCACACCAGACAGGGGCATAAACAAGGTCATATGCCAAGAAGTGCAGCAAACCTATTATCATCTCGTCCTACACTACTCAATTCTGTAGGAAAGGAATAAAAAAGGGGTTTCTGTAGTCATCTTTTGTCACCTCTTTATCTTTCATACAATTATTTGGAAGAATGATCTTTAGTGTTTAAATGGATCGTTTCAAATATTAATAATAATGATCCATACATGAGCTGCCTTTGACATATGTGTATTACAATACCTTTTACTATTTGGACTTTCAAATCTTACTGGTTTAGGTTTTTTTTTTTAATTTTATAGCCAATATTTGATGCTTTGTATTCTATTGCTCTAAATTTTTTTATGTATACCACTGTTCTGGGACATTTAACTCTGTTTAGAATCTGCCCTGGAGGTCCTTAACTACAGATTACTGTCAAAACAAAATAAGTACACAGGTCCTTGAGTTACATAAGCAGGAACATACTTTGTTATTTTGATGCTGGCATAACTTTTTTGATTCCCTTTCATTCCTACCTCCTCACACCAAGAAGCTAAATTTATGTTATGCCTTCTTCAGGAAAAAATCCACCCCTATAGTGGACTTACACATACTACTAAAACCAACAGAAGAATTCAACTCCAACTTTACATTAAGAAAAAAAATGTGATATAAATAATACACATTGAGAAGCTTAGTGGTATATGGGTTTATTCCCACTGGTGGTCAATATCCTGTAATAGCTCAATTATCTCTGCAAGGCTCATGTTGTTTGATCTTCTAACATGCTGCATTGCATTTATACCCTGCTGAGTTTCATTGTGCTTGTTAGCTCTAAGTAGTAACTTCTCAGTCAACAGACAGTTTCTCTGATAGTTCTCTCTGACTTCTGTTATTAACACCAGTGTTTCAGGAAAGTCTTGAGTATAAGTAGCTGCCTGTACGTGGAAATATATAAGGACACTGCTGAATAAAGCCTAAAGGAAGTACAGGTCACATAAGATTCCTACTGTACATATGTTCCCAAGAGTGTGGAGGTGGAAAACTACTAGCTGAAAATGAACTTACATTTTTTTAAAAATCTACTTAACCATGGGAAGCAAATTATTTAGGTGGCTTTCTTTCTTACTGTGGAAACTGATTGCCTGGAATGATACCTAGTTTTCAAACACCACAAAATTTTTATTTAGTTGTCTATTTTTCTCATCATGAGTGTTGGAGAATTTTTTTTTTAAAAAAGCTTTAACAATAAAATCGGTTGTGGCAATCTGTAGTGCAATCTTACAGTACTGCTAAAATGATCAACTGTAGCATGCTAAACATATTCTATGATGTGCATTAAATTAATTTCTTAAGTGATCCATGAATACTGTTAGTGTCTGAGAATCCTAAGTACCACACAGTAACAAAAGCAGTCATCATACTTTTAATAATACTAATAAAACCATTACAGTTATTAATAAAGACTAATTTGTCTCTGAGCACTCAGAATTTGCACAATGACATATCAACCAACAAACATTGTAACATCCTGAAAACCTGCAAAATCCATCATTCAGATAACTTGCAGGGTTTCAAAAATTAATGAGTTCTCCTGCCATCTCTATAAAGCAGACAAATATTCTTTCCCTGATTTTTACAGACACGGAAATGAAGACACAGAGACACTAAGTGACTAGTGCAAGTCTCTTCAGGACTGGAAAATAACTCAGATTTTATAATTTTTTCTTTCTTTATTAATCATAAAAATAAGTGTCCCCTCTGAAGGGAACTGTAAGATTTATTTTAAAATAATTCCTAGGGAACTGCTCAAATGGTTCTCTAGCTTCCTGGTTTAGCTGCTATTTCCATTTCTTACCTCATTTTTAAATAGTAGAAGAGAAGTCATTTTCACTGACCTTAAAAAGCTTTGACCATGCCTTGCCTGTTCATGTGCTAGGGTTTAGAAATGTGGATAAGAAGGAATAGGTAAGAGTGTACATAACTACATTACCTTGAACGCTTAAGTTTAAATTTGCCACAACTGTGGCTTTCCTGTTGACTTCTAAAACATAACTTTTCCACTGGATATACACATACTCATTTCAGTATATTCACACAAATATAGTTCAGGTCATAGGAAACATGAAAACAGTATAGCCTTCTATGCTGGAGCGGTTAGTTTCATCCATGGAAAATTAACTGTTTAAGTGACTTGACTTCTTCTTTTGAGAAACAGAGGAAAAGATTAACATGCTTAGCTGATATCCATCAAATTGCTTCCTTGCAGAATTCCTATACCAACCTATCTCCTTTGAAGAAGTAGGTTTTCCCAACATCTTCCCACCAAATTGCTGAATCAATGCCATGGGAAGGAATTCCACTTCCAAGTGTTATCAAATCATGAGGATAACCTGGCTGGAGAGTAGTGTCCTTGAAAACCCAGAACTTGTTACCTGTACAAAAGCATACACATACATATGTGTGTGTTAGTCTTCAATACTCTTAGTATTAATACACTCCTAAGAAATCAGAAAGACTCCCAAAGGGCTATAGTGGTTCTGCCAAACACAATGAAATGAAAAGTGTTCTATCACTGCAAATAATGCAAAATTAAATAAGCTTTACAGATACCTTACATTTATAAAGCACCTTTCATTCAATAAGCCCACAGAATATTTTAATACCAATTTTATAGGGATCAAACCCAGAATGAAAATGAAGTCATCTCGAGAGTCTTTGTGGGTGATAATGTAATACATTTACAGTAATACTACAGAACAGATTTACATTTCATGAGGAAAGAAGAGTGAATTTTAAGACAAAATGAGGGAAGAAAACATATCAATAAATAAAAAATAGAAATTTCTATCCTCATAGAGACCATACACTTTTATTACTCTGTACTCTCCTTCTTCTCAAGAAGTTAAATTCCATATGAAGGATGTAGAGCTTATTTATTGAAATGACTATTGAATTTAATTTTTTAATCATATTTTCTTTAGTGTGGCCTAAAGACAACAAACTGACGTTCTGAAGACCCACAGATGAAAACCTTGTGTTTCTGAAATTAATGGGGGGTTGCCTTTAGAACCAGTAGGAAGTAAGATTTAACCTTAGGTTGTGGGTGACAAATCATTCAAAACCACCACACTGACTTATTACGTGCTGATAATACAATGTAGCTGTACAACTCTAGCTGGTGTTAACACAGTGTCTACACAAACCCCAGGTTACCTAAACCATATTAAATACAAATAGCCTAGTGCTTCCTGGACAGCAACGCTCAGTGGTTGAACCCCTACTGTTGCAGTTACTAGGCAAATATATTGTCTATATAGGGGTATGAATGTCTACAGAAGCAGCAGTTTCACCAGTATTTTGAAGTGTAGCCCCACCGTAACTTTTTGGAGAGGATGCTTCCTCTCTTGTAACTGGATAGCTTACCTCAGTTATTAGGTTGCCCTGGCAAGGTTTTGGTAGTGGGGGAGTTACAGACGTGCCTTCTGGGAGAAGCTGCCGGAAGCTTCCCCCATGTCTGATAGACCCAATGCCAGCCAGCTCCAAGATGGACCTGCCACCAACCAAGGCTGAGCCCATCAGCGACGGTGGTAGCGCCTCTGGGATAACATGTTTAAGAAGGGAAGGGGAGAAAAATGGCACAACTGCAGCTGAAGAGAGGAGTAAGCCCCCCAGGCCAGTGCAGCAGGAGGGGCTCTAGGCGCCGGAGCAGAGATTCCCCTCAGTCCCTGGGGCAGCCCATGGTGGGGCAGGCTGTGCCTCTGCAGCCCAGGGAGGCCCACGGGGGAGCAGATCCCCACCTGCAGCCCGGGGAGGACACCACGCCGGAGCAGGGGGGGGGTGCCCGAAGGAGGCTGTGACCCCGTGGGAAGCCCATGGTGGAGCAGGCTCCTGGCAGGGCCTGTGGCCCCGTGGGGAGAGGAGCCCAGGCTGGGGCAGGGGCAGAGGGTGAGGAGTCCTCCCCTGGGGAGGAAGGAGAGGCAGAGACAGCGTGGGATGGATGGATCCCAACCCCCATTCCCCGTCCCCCTGCACCCCTCGGGGGAGAGGAGGCAGAGAAAATTGGGACATAAATTAAGCCCAAAAGAAAGGAGGGGTGGGGGGAAGGTATTTTTAAGATTTGTTCTTATTTCTCGGTACCCTACTCTGATTTGATTGGCAATAAGTTAAACTGATTTTCCCAAGTCAAGTCTGTTTTGCTCATGACGGTATCTGGAGAGTGAACTCCCCCTGCCCTTACCTTGACCCATGAGCCTTTCATTATATTTTCTCTCCCCTGTCCAGCTGAGGAGGGAAAGTGATACAGTGGCTTTGGAGGGCACCTGGCAACCAGCCAGGGTCAACCCATCACACCTCACCAGCCCACAACTCCAGTTTCCCAGCTTTAGTTTGCTCTAACTTCCTAGCCAAGTTCCTCTTCCTCACTGAACACTTCTACAATTATATCACCTTGTTCATCACCTCATATTAAGCTTTTAGTCTAATACTTTCCACAATAATTGCATTGTCCTCCATACTCTTGTCTAGGGTCTTCTCCACAAACTGTGCCTCCTGTCCTATTCTTGCAACTATCTTCTCCATTGTACATTTTTGCTTTCTCGTAGTTCTTTAGAATGCACTTCTCACCTGTGTCTTTTCAGTAGAGACTTCTTTTTCAAACATAGACAGCTTTGGCTGAAAAAAGGGAATAAAGATCCTCATATGCCCCCTAGAAATAGTGAAAAGGGAGCATAATTTGCATTTTATTACTTATCGGAAAAGCTTGCTTTGAGGCCTGTCTTCTCTTTGCGTTATGTCATCTAGGCCACCGGGACACTTTCTGAGCTAGATTATAGGCTTCATTGTGTCGGAACCAGTTGCTTATTTTCTCTTCAAAGCACTACCTTCATCTGTGTTTTCCAAAAAAGCATCGCTATTTTTAGTAATAGTAACACTGAAGGGGAAAATACTCTTTGATGTCATGTAGACCCTTTTGAGTTACATCACACAAAGGTCTAGAGAAGATCCATGAACTGGCCTACTGGATACTTTCCTTTGGTCTATCCATTGCTATTTATTATGTTGATATTTAAAATATAAGGGGAAAAGTCTGAAAATATATTTTGCTCAAACTTATTTGGAAAGAGATCCTAAGAGATAAAATCACATCTGTTCATCTTAGCCGTTGTACTTACCTGTAGCACTAGGCAGGCTGTTACATAGAATTCGGAGCTTAAGGTACTCTGCTGTATAAATATTTAGAAAGGAAATGTAATATTACCCCAAAGATCTAGGATTAGGTGTATGCCAAAATCACCAAGATGGAAAATCTGGAGAGCTGTTTTGCAGCTGGTTTTATATTTTAGCTTTCCCTCAGTAGTATTAAATGTTTGTTTAAAGGGAAGGATTTTTTTAATCTCCATGTTTGTATTGTAGTGATTTAAAGCATGTTTTTATTTTATCACAGTTTTTATTAGTAGAGGGGATATAGTTTCAGTCCCTCCCAAACTGGGTTTCCAGAATAGATTTTTTATCAGCTTCTTTACAGCTGCTTGTCACCCACTTCCAAGCACAGACACTACAGTTTGCTCAAAAGATCTGACTTAGAATCATAGAATGTTTTGGGTTGGAAGGGACCCCTAGAGGTCATCTAGTCCAACCCCCCTGCAGTGAGCAGGGACACCGCTAACTAGATCAGGTTGCTCAGAGCCTCGTCCAACCTGGCCTTGAATGCTTCCAGGGATGGGGCCTCCACTACCTCTCTGGGCAACCTGTTCCAGTGTTCTCCCCCATGCCAGTTGAAGGAAGAAAGGATTCAAAGAATGAGTATGTACAGAGCCATCTGAAGTACTGAAAATGAAAGAGAAATGGAAATCTATGAAGAACAGTCATGGAAAACTGAGGTCTGTGTTGACCTGGGATTAAGGTCTGTGCTAACCTGACATGTACCTTTAATGAGATTCCTTACAAAATTCACTTGTAGGGTTTGATTGTGACAGGGGTGAGCATCTTCAGTCATTCACTGTCCCTTCTCCGATGTGATTTATTCTTTTGCCAGTTCACATGACTAGACACAGTAGGCTTCAGAAGGTAATGGCAGTTTCAAATGCAATAAGAAAAGCCATGCATTTTGGACCTTACTAGTTGGTACTTATGGTGTGAACAACAGATGGCATCCAGTGAATGATACTGAGCCAGCTCATTTCTGTTTCAGAAGATCATTCAAAATGACAGCTGTTGCACAGCATTGAGAGGCATATGCTGTGATGTATGTAATGCCATTAGCTTTCTCTATGCCTCACAAGGAATAAAAGTAACAGCAATTGTTAGGAACAGATCGTTATCAGCTATACCCAACAAGTCAAATTTAGCTATTAACAAGATCAGGTCATACCAAAATAAACAAGGGTTGAGCACACACTATTATAAGTGACAGCACCACTGAGACAGGTATTTGTTGCATATTCAGATGTACTGAAGTAGAAGAAAAGTGTAGACGTGGGAATACAAGACTTAAGGAACTAAATTCTTCTTCACATAATTTCTTACTAAGAAGTAAATTCTTTCTGGGTAAATAGAGAAAAGGTAAATTTAACTGTGTTTTATGGAGACAGTAGGGCATTGAGAGCTTTAACATATGCAGGCAAGACTTGATTCTAAGTAGAGGGAATTGTATTTAACATTTGCTTTGGAAGACATGTTTAGTCTGCTACAACTGTGTTGATTGTTAATGGGAAGGACTGTATATAAGATATTCAAATGTTCCATCTGGCTGACAGTTTTAACTTTGGGGTTTTTTGTTTGTTTGTTTCAGGGTATTTTAGGTGGTTTGTTGTGGGGTTTTGGGGGTTTGTTGTGGTTTTTTTCTGTTTAGCTTCTGTCCCTCAGCTGGAGGAAAGTGGGTGGCTCTTGATCAGAGGTTTTCCAGAAAGTCAGAAAAAATTAGAACCTTTCAAACTCAGAACCAAATATTAGGAGAAGTTAAAGCTGAAAATCAGTGCAAAAGATGCCTGATTGTGATGAGAATTAGCTCCTTTTATTTCTAACCTATATTTAGGTATCTTAAAATGTATTAAAAATGAATGCTTAAGTCAGTATGTTTTCATTGAGTTCACATTCCACTTACACTCCTAAACAGTCAATACACTTCATTAATCGTGATTATGATGGAAATAAAGAATATATGACAAAACTATAATAGTTATAGTTTGATCCTTCTTATAAATAACTAATGATTGTTCAGAGTCCTAACCTATGCCCTTGGCAGAAATCACCACTGTATTTATTTTACGAAGTTGGTTCTTAAGGTCTGGTTGGTGAGTTTGTTATTCTCGAAGAGAATAAAGCACCACATGTTTCATAAAGTCTGGCTAACCTTCAGAATGTTTCATCTCTCTGCTTTTATTCCCTAATGTAAGATCTAATATAATAACAAGCAGAATGGTAAGGTCACAAG